GCAGGCCGCGGGCGCGCGTGTCCCGCCGCGCCCGCGTCGCCGTGGAGCCGGGACAATGCGAGCAGCGCGGCCGGCTGGCCCCAAGGGCTGGGCCGTAACCTTGGCAACCGTGGCGCCAGCGGTGCCGACCCGCTACATCCGGGGCCCTGCCCGAAGCCGGTAGAGAGTCGGGGGGCGAGTAGGCGGCTTCCCTCACAGAGCCACAGACCACAACGCACAGCCCTTGGTGCCAGCGTCGCGCACAGGTGAGTGCCCTCGGGATAACCATCCATTAGGAGCCCGTGAACTGCGATGACCTAGAACGTGTGTTTGGGAAAAAGTTACCATGGTATAAGAGTTTACCAGGAGTAAAATTTGAAAACAACGAAAATTGCAAATGGACAAATATATTTCCGGAAAGGTTATGCATAACTCTAGGGCCCAGCACTGGCCTCTCAGACCTCAAGAAATCCCAAATCTGGTTGCTTGCTGTACACATTAAATGTTCCCAATGCAAATACCCAAAAGGAAACACACCCTTCCCTGTCCTTTATCTTCAAATTTATCCTCTAAGTGGTACCCTAAAAACACCATGTGAGTCAAGCCAGAAACCTGAGAGTTTCCTCAAACCCTCCTATGTAGTCAGCCAACCATTGGGTCCAGCCACAATAAACTTAGTATTTCTGTGATCTAGAGTCTCCTGTCCACATGAATCTGGGTTGTTGTAAAAACTTCCAAACTTGCGCTCTTTCAAGGAAATGCCCATCGATTAACTCTCCATGCTGAAAGCAAAATCATCTGTTTAAATGTGAATCTGACCCGCTGAAAAGTTTGAGTGGCAGCACATTTGCTTCCTCTGTGTAAAGGACACGAATGGCCAGAGACCCACAGGTGTGTGAATGCTTAAACAAGCGAGTGTGTGTACTCCAAGGAAGAGTAACACAGCCTGGTTACATTTCTTGCCTTGTCAATATATTGATTTAGGAAAAAAGAAAACTCACCACTTCGGCCAGACAAAATCCAAATACCAAATGAATTTGGTAAAGAGGTAAGACGAGGTATGGGGGAATATATTGTAAGGGCCATTGTGGCCTTCGTTTTGAGTGACATGAACCACAGGAAAGTTTTCACAGAGAGGTGTCATGAGTTGACTTTTATAGGAAAAGAAGCACTCTGGGGGCTATCTAGACTCACATTCTATTTCAAACGTAGAGCCTAGCAGACATGTCCAACCTATGACCTGTGGACATACTTGTGTTTTAACTTTTAAAAAATTGAAAAATAAGTTTCATTATGTATACACATGAAATGTTTTATATGCAGCACAAGACAGCTACTGTTCTCTCACTGTAGTCCAGACAAGCCAGGACCTGTCTAACCTGTGGAGGCAGGGAGAACTTTCTGAGAAGTTGGATGTAGGAAAGGAACAAAGTAGTTGAGAACAATTCCAACATTTTTAACCTGGACAGGCCTATGAAGCTGCCATCAACTGAGAGAAAGCTGCGAATGGACTTGGTGAGTGGCAAAACTATAAGAAATCTAGTAGCCATTCAAAGGATGATTTTGAATTTGTAGTTGACATAGAAACCAGAATTTTCGACATAAAATTCAAAGTCAGCACAAAAATGGACTTTGAAGGAGTTTGTACTGTTTCTGACAGCAGAGAAAAACCCTTCTAACCTTTTCCTTTTTGGGGGGAGTTGGGGGGGCAGTGGCTCAGCCCACCCTGAGGGCCAGGCTGGCATGGCATGTGGTATCTGGGATCGAACCTGGTCCCTGCCTAAGCTTGCCTAAGCATGTGCTTTAGACCACTGAGCTATCTCGCTGGCCCCAGCCTTTTCTTTATTGGATGAAATTTTCTCATGTTTTACAACTCTGCTTGGGGATCCTCTTCTCCAGTACACCTTAATCACGGATTCCTTTCAAGGGCTCTCTGCTCGCTCCTATAGTACTTGGTGCAACACGTATCTTAAAACTATATAATGAAAAAACCCTATATTATATTTAAAATTATTGACCCAAGAAGGTGTACCCTCAACCCTCAGTGCCACCACTAGACTGTAAACTCTTGACACTGGAAGGAGCCGCATCTTATTTCACCACCCTGTTCCTTCTACATTATATCCACTAGTAGATGCCTGCCATCATCCCTATTTCTTAGCATGAACTTCTGGAGCTCCTCTCTGCTGCAGTCATTCTACACTCTATTCTGCTCACAGATAGGACTTAACTCTTGTTTCAGACAGTGATGAGAAGTTAATTTATTTCAATGGTGGCAGCTAACACATTCTTTTTTGTGAGAAGCTTCTAATAGCCTAATGTGTTCAATGGTAGGATTCTCAATTTTCAGTTTAGAAAAGTAAGAGTTAGGTGAAATAATTTACATAAAGATGCACAGTTTAAAAGTATTGAATAAGTTTTCTGATTCCAAAACCTTTGTTCCCTAACCACTATGTTATGTGACTTTTCTCTCTAAAATTAATCTCACAAGATTTAAAAAATAGCATGAGAATGACAAAGACAGAAATTAGAACTCAAGTGCTTGAATTATAAGCCGTTGTAATTTTTTGGTGACTTTTGTTTTATTTTAGAGAAGGTTCTACAAGGTGTTCAGGGTCTCACTACTAGATTGGACTCATAGTGATCTGCCTGTCTACAGCCTCCCAAGAGCTGGGATTACAGATGCACGCCACTACACCCAATCTCAATTGCCACCCAGAGGCAGGGCTGGCATGGCAGGCCTGGGGATCGAACCCCAGCTCCTGCGCCTACTTGAAGGTGCTTTAATCCACTGAGCTATTTGGCCAGCTGACTTTTGGATAACTGTTGAGACATAATTTACATATCATCCAGTTCACCTATTTCAATTGAGTGGCTTTTAGTATGTTCACAGTTGTGTAACCACTTTAATCAAATTTGGAACATTTTCATCACCTCAGAAACTTCATATCTTCTAAGAATGGCTCCCTTCCCTTAAGTACCCACAAATCTACTTTCTGACTCTATATTGCTTATTGTGGATATTTCATATAAATGGAATCATACTACTTAGAGCTTTTTGTGTCTGGCTCCTTTCACTTAGCATAATGTTTTCAGGACTTGTCCATGTAGTAGCATGGATCAGTACTCTGTTCCTTTTGTAACGGAATAGGGTGATAGAATAATATTCAACTTTGTTTCTTCATTAACCAAAGGGCATTTAGATTTTATTTTTTGACTATTATAAAGAATGATACTACAAACATTTGTGAACAAGTTTTTGTATGTACGTATAGCTTCATTTCTCTTAGGAATCTATCTAGGAGCAGAATTGCTGGGTCAAATGGCAACTCTAATGTTTCACCTTTTGAGGAACTGGCAGATGATTTGCTAAATTGGCCACACCATTTTATATTCCTAAAAGAAGTGACTGCGGGATCTCATTTCGCCACATGTTGACTAACATTTATCATCCACTGATACCATCAAAAGCATCCTATAGGATGTTAAATGGTATTTGCCATTTCCCTCATAACTAGATTATATTTTCTTTTATCTATATGTTCCTCTCACCTCATGATACCTCAGTGTTTTTTTTCCAAAAAGCTCTTTTTTTTACATCAGTGTACATCATTGTTGAAACCAAAGTAGTTCAAAACTGAAAGTTTTAATTGGAAATATAAATACATGAACAGATTAAGGCTTTTGTTTGTCCTCTCGTGGTTCTAAACATTTATCTAGTAAATTTCAAGATTTTTCAATACCTTTATATACTTTCCTGTATACCTGAAAGTCAACTGCAAGAACCCCGGAAAACATCTCAGCCAGTTCTTTTCACAAAACAGCTAAAACTATAATATAATAACTAGCCAAAGTGGTAGGAAATGGAACAGAAGTGACCTCATGCTAAGCTTCTAGAGACAGAGAAAAACAATATGGTTTCAAATTGACCCCTACACTAACACCCCAGAGTTGACCTTCTGAATTACAAGGATTGGTTTGCAATATGGATGTTTTATGTTGCCTACTCAGGCTAAGAAACTGCAAGGATTTATTCTATGATTCAGCTCATGCTGTAGAAACTACCTTGTGTATGTATGTATGTATGTGTGTGTGTGCGTGTGTGTGCGCGCGCGCAAATATTCCCTTGATAATCAAGAGCATATTTTAACAATCCTACTTGTTGTTTAAAGATTTTAAAAGATATCAGCCCACCCTTGACTTTGGTGTGGGAGGGTCCAATTTAAACCTTGATCTCAACTTCTATGAGTGTGAATAACACTAAGGGATAAAATTCATGGCTTAATAATATATGACAATAAACTTTGACCTATAACCTCACAGCAATCAGCTTTGGATTCCAAACCACAACTTTGTGGTGATAGGCTCAGAAAGGTCAGGATTTGTCAGTGCCTGCTAAGTTCCTGAATTTTGACCCCACTTCCCACTCAAAACCAACCAGAAAAAGCCAGATATGCTTCCCTAATCAATCATATAGGATCACACTGGATTCCAGGTAGTCCACAACGAGCTTCCCAGGCCAATGACTTTGGATTAGAGTATGCATAAAGTCTTCCCTTTTTTTCTTTTTTTTTTTTTGCTATAAAGCTTTCCTACTCCCCTGCCTGTCTTTGAATCTTTGAAAAATATATGCAATAGGGGCAGACTCCCTTGCCACCAAAAGCTCTGAATAAACATCCTCTGATTGTTTTCATTTATTTCCACATAACCAAACTATATTTTTAATTTTTACACATAAGTGAGTCAGCATGACAGGTCAGTACATTGGAGTGTTTTTCCTAGGAGCTGGATGGGAACTCAGCATCTAATGATACATGATCCCACTCCTATACTCCAGTTCCTAATGTAACTGCAGGAGATTTAGATACATGGGCTATAAAATCTGAATGACATATATTTTCTTTTTTTGGTTATTGCTGATTATCTTTTTGTTGTGTTAAACTCTTTTGTCTTATTTGTATTATATAACAACTACCCGCATCCATACTACATTTAACTGGAAAATGGCCTTATTTTTACTTCTTAACAGTTCATAATTTTTTGAAGAACATAATTAGTTTAATATATTCATTAGGCAATTTCTTAACTCATTCAAGATAACTACCATGTGGACCTGCTGGTTTAGATTTATTCTAACTGTCAATATATTCCATTCTCTTGCTTTGTTTCTTGCACAGACTAATGAGATAATTCAAATTTTAACTCTTTCCTAGTTAAAGTTTGAAAACTTGACTATTGCTCTAAGAGCAATTCTGGTAGCTCGAATTTTCCATCAGCTCATCTAAGGCCAAATCAGCAGCAAGTGGTCATCAAAGCA